ATTCACAGGTTCTGATAGAATTTTTATTTAAGTACTTCATGGGTGCTGGTTTGCAGTCTGCATTCAGCTTGTGAAGCTGATATGTGTTCAGTGTAGTATAGCCATCATTTTACATATGAAAACATCTCCTCGTATTCAGGATGAACCTGTTGCCCAGTTGTGAGCTTTCTAAAGAACACTTGCTTTTGCTGTTTGTTGGATAACTTTTCAGTTCCTTCGGCATAATCTTGGAGGAAGCATCCCTGCTGGTGGCCTCGGCAAAACGCGGACAAGCCGGTGGTTGGTCTCAAGCATCACAACTCTTAGTGTGCCTGGAATTTTGTGCTCAAACTTGTTAGTCGAAAAAGGTTTGGAAATCGAAAGTTAAAGATGCATAAAATGTGAATGTTTTTCTCCTTTTGTGTTGCACATAGTGATAGATAGCATTACATTAAACTATGTGGTAGAGGAAATTTAGGTAATATGTATTTACATATGACGAAACCTCCTCACTTCATTTTCAAGGGCGGAAAACTACTTTGCTGATTAAGTGATGTTAATTCCTGTGTGTGTCTTTGTCTTGCTGTTTAATTTCTGTCTACTTCTAATGATTTTCCTTTGATCAGTTGCCTTGTTCTAAGATTGCCTTTGACAAGCTCTGTCCCTCTTACTGAATATCTTTGCGATTTTTGCTTACAGTTTATGTGTCCCTTGTTATATGTCTAGTCAAGGCTGTGGTTTTTCTAGTGGTCTTTACTTTCTAGCTCATGTCGTTGCTGACACTTTCCCCACTGCTTGTGATTGCGGTTTTGGCTACGTGTTTTCCTCATCCTTGGCTGTGTGGGTTTTGTAGTGCGTTTTCAGTTTGTTGCTGCTCTTGAGGAAATCCTCAGCTATCCTGAATTCAAGCTGACATGCCTGTGTGCACATGTGCAGATATGTCTTTATAGCTAGAAGTTATGTTAAAAGTAGCTTTTCTCATGTAAGCTTCCTTTCTGATAATGGGGGCTAGAGTAACAATTAAGTTTATAACATTTACTTTCTAAATCATTAAAATGGAGTCCATGATCTAACACCTAGAGATGCCTTGTTTTAACCAAAGGTCAATAAGCAGTTTTTCTAAAGTGTTAATAAAGTGTTTCTAAACACACGTTTGCAGTAAGGAGGAGAATATTTTAGGGTCAGTTTAATTGTATGCTTTCATGTACTGGTTGTTGATGGGACATGAGAGAGAGAGTTTTCCAAGTGGAAGAGCAGTTCTGGCCCTTTGTAGAAACTGCTTGTTAAGTCACCATTTTGCCAGATGCAGTGGTCATGATCTTATTTGACACAGTTGATCACTCTCCCTGTTGACACACTTTCCTCCCATATTTTTCAGACTTCTCCTTGTTTGTTTTCTACCACATTATATCCTTCTACTTTTCTTTAACTCATTTCTCCAATCTGTAACTCAAAACCTACAGTTGAAATTGATGAAACTGAAATGTCCCAGCCAGTCTTGGACCTCTTCTCTCTCTCTTTCTCTCTCTCTCTCTTCTCCTTTCTTGATGATCATCTGAGATTTGGCTTTTACATGCAATTGCTATGGTAATCTCTTTCTTGAACTAGGGTCTCCTATATCCAATTTCCTTTTCTACTTCTTTGGATAAGGATCAATATTAGGTATTTCCAACTTAACATCTCTAAAATGGAACTCCTGATCTTTCTTCCCAAACCTGTTTCCTCTGTTTATCCGTATTTATTTTCCATCTTAATAAATGACTGTCAGCTTTTAAATTGCTCTGGTCAGAAATTGTGGAGTCAGTCTTGACTCCTCCCTTTCTTTAGTAGTGATTTCTGTCTTTTTCTTTTCATAGTTGTGTCCCCAGTACCAATAAGTCCTTAGTAGACATCACTAACAGGCTTGGAAGGAATGAAATGCATAACCTAATAAACAGAGAGGGTCTGATGCCCCAAGATAGAGCCTTTATTTAACTTAGGATGCTCCCAGGAGGAGGGCAGAAACTCCTGTTTTCTTACCCCCTTCATTTATCAGTTCTGGGGTGAGGTAGCTTTTGTCTGCCTTTCAAACTGTTAGTATGGCATACTTAATGCAAATTAATGGAGATCATATATACTATGCTATTGGAACATCAAGCAGAACATGATGATTAATTCCTTATGATGAATGTCACAATTTCATTATTTCCTGGAGTTTCTGTTAATATCCTGGCATTCAATAAGTAAGTTTTTAAATGAATATGTGATTCCTAATGTACATTTCATTTTTAAAAGCAGGATTTATTCTAGTCTTCCTGTGAAATTTGTTTCTCTCCTTGCATTTCATGTGTCTGTTAATACTCCCACCTCCTATCTTGTTGAAATACAAAGGCAGGAGAACTCTTAAATTCTTTTCTTTGGTCTCAATCACATGTTCACCCAGCCATCACATGTTTTAGAAAGGTTGTTCAAGACCTCCTCATTGCTCACTGAGGTTACCGCTATGATAGCTTTATTTCCCTGCCATGCTGTATGGCGTGTGGGATCTTAGGTTCATGACCAGGGATCGAACTTGTGGCCCTTGCATTGGAAGCTTTGTGTCTCAACCATTGGATCATTAGGGGAGTCCTAAGATCACTTCTTCACTTAATCTGTTACCTCTATTATTACCTCTCCTCTGCATGAAATCCTTTATGATTCTCCCTATTTCCAGCTGAACCAGCACTCTCTGATTTGACCTAGGAGGCTGTGCTTCACCTGTCTGGCCTCATCTTTAATGAGTCCTTCCCCTGCTCTCTCACTTACTACCTTTACAGACTGCTCAGAAAATCTGAATTCCTTGTGATTCAACAGAAGGGCCCAGGGCTTTGAATATGTTAACTCTTACATTTGAGCACCTTGGTCTTCCTCTTCATCTGGCTGCCTGTCTTCCAATTAATCCTTGAGAGTCAGTTCTGCTCCTCAGCTGTCCTTGTTTTTATTACTGTCTCCGTATGCTCATATAATGTATTCTCATGTATCTGTTAGGGTATATTTTTGTTATTGTACCTACTTATCTTCACTAGGGTAGACAACGTGTGCCGTTTTACCTTTTAGTTCCTGAGCCTTTTCTACTGTCTATAGAAGTTGATTTATATACTGGTATGCTGTATCAGTGTGAAATCATGTGGTAAAACAGGTCCAAATATCTCAGTGTATGTATTAAAAACCTAGAAGGAACTCTTTGGTCTTTACCTTGACTATAGAATTCTTCATCTGTAAGAAAATAAATCAATACATTTTACTGTATGTAGACATATGTTTACAGGCTATAAATTAATCAAAGAGTGGGTATAGGTCGTGATAATGGTAAATTACCATTAGAATTGGGAAAGGATCTTAAAGAATTAAATTCATTATTTCACTTTGTCAATTTCCTATTTTTCCTTTTATTGGAAATTGCCTTTAAAATGTTTCCTGGAAGCAATTTGGATGATCCTTTCCACTTCTTTCTCCTTAATTTTGTGCTAATATTGTTCTATATATATTGACTTTCCATTTAGGTGATATTTGCTGCTAATTTTTAGGTTGTTTATTTTTGCTGCTTTCTTTGAGTTGTCTATAATTTGCATCTTTTCTGGAAACCTGGTGACTAATGCTAATTTAATTTCTCTGAACGTATAGAAACATGATTTGTATGCTGTTTGAGATCTTTTATAATGCTGAAAAAAAATTTGTGGGTACTGGGTAGTGACTGGCAAGGAAGTGCAAAGAAAGCCTTTTAAACTTGACTTTTTGACATGAACTGTTTACAATTGAGTGAACATGTACTGAAAGGTAGACTCTGTTTTAAGTTTTTCTTCTCTTTTTTTTCTAAATATGTTTTTCTTTTCCCTCTTTTTCAGATTTTGACAGTAGAGGCATGCTGGCCAGATTTTAGTGTTTAGATATCAAATAGAACAATTACAATATATTTCAACCAGCTGGAACTCAGACCCCTGTTGGTGTTTTAATCCCAAAATGGCATTTTAAATTCATATAGACCTTGCCTTAAGGGATGGAGAAAGGACAGTTTAGAGAGCAGCATGAGGTTAAACATATTGATCAGTACGCTAGTCTTTCTTGTTGGCTTTTGGTAGAATGTAGACTTAGAAAAATAACCATCGACAACAATGAAGAATTCTTTGCCTGCCTAGAAACAGTCTCCTTTGTTTTCATTATATAGATTTTTGATAATGAAAGATACAGTTCAGCCAGTAATTTAAAAAAAAATGATATCCAAGTTGAAAGTTGGAGTTCCAGGGTGAAAGTTGAGAAAATATGATTTTTAATTTTTAGTGCAGTTGGCCATGTTATTTCTTTATGTCTTCTTAATAAACATAACATACAGTAGGTCTGAATTTTTGTCAAAGTGTAGGGACCGGTGCCTGGTCAGTTAAGTAATAAGTAAGTAAGTGTTAGTTGCTCAGTTGTGCCCGACTCTTTGTGACCCCATTGACTGCAGCCCATCAGGCTCCTCTGTCCATGAGATTTTCCAGGCAAGGATACTGGAGTGGGTTGCCATTTCCTTCTCCAGGGGATCTTCCCAACCCAGGGACCAAATCAGTAATTAGCCTTGCAATGTTCATAATACAGTTTTTGGTTATAGCAACCCCATTAACTAGATGCATGCCTTAGTTAATTCTTATTGACTTAAAGTCTTTGGGTTTCTCTTGATGAATAGGAAGTTATTTTATTATCCTAGTTTAGCTAAATGTTACCTAAGGATATTTATAGTTTTTCAACTAATGTGTGTTCAGTTTATGTCTTGTGTGTATGGAATGATATTTTTGGACAAGAACTTAACTTTTGGTTGGAGAGAATTAAAAACTCCACTGAAAATATATTTCTTGTATAATTTATAATTGACTAAAGTATTTTACATTCAAATTATCGTTTTAATAGACTCACCTGTGAAGGAAGATATTTGATAATACTTGGAACACAGCCTTGATGTCTCAGTGCTATTACTCCTTTTTAAATGTCTGATCCAAGTCTAAGTCTTGCTGTGTAATTTATTATAGGTAGCGTGTATGCAGCTCATCAATGCTCTTGTTACATCTCCTGATGACTTGGACTTCAGGCTTCACATCAGAAATGAATTTATGCGTTGCGGATTGAAAGAGATATTGCCAGTAAGTGCCCTGCAGTCTTCTTATTAATATTTAAATTAGAGAAGTACTTGAGTAGGGGGAAATTTAGATAAATTACTTTCAAGAATAATTTATCTATGGGAAAAAAGGCTTGAGTATAAAATCTATTTTTGAAATACAGATGATAAGTTTTGAGTATTAGTTAACACTTTTAAGTCTTTGAATGCTATAAATCAAATTGAGTGGTTTCTTTATTGTTTATATTTTTCATTAATTTTTTGCATTATTAAAACCAAACAGTTCCTCATAATTTCAATTTAATATCTGTAGAATTTAAAACATATTAAGAATGATGGCTTGGATATCCAACTTAAAGTCTTTGATGAGCATAAGGAAGAAGATTTGATGGAGTTCTCCCATCGCCTTGAAGATATTAGAGCTGAATTTGAATATCCTTTTGTCTGATGTCCAATCAAATATGTATTAATTACTAATAATTGCTGCTAAATCTTAAACAGTCAGCCCCTAACCCTGAAATGTTAAACTTCTGAAGCCATTTCTAGGTAAATGCTATAAAATCAAAACTTTATTGAATCAGAGGGATGTTCGTATAAACCTTTTTATTTTATTAGTTTATATGTGTTTTTATGAAAACATGCTTATATAAATGAATGTTGCACGTTAAAACTGGATACTGGAGGCCTCTTAATGTGCACATGTGCAGTCTGTTCTTTCTGTTTGGAGCCCTGCTGCCCCCAGTGCTTTCCGGCATTAGGAGTAGGCCCTTTAGCCTGCTGGTCATTTCTGCCCTGTACCTTGCATGTATTTTCTTACGAGCCTTGGCTGGCTTTGTGCCTCTGCAGACGTCTATGTTTTGCCGCATCTCTGTCTTCCATGGGGGGTGCGCCGTGGTAGGTAATGCCTGGCACCGGCTCTCTCGGTCATGGCTGCCCCAGAGCCCAGTGCCGCCTTCGTGAGCAGCTCTCTGCCGCTCTGCCAGAGCGCCTTGGCGCGAGAGGGGAGACTGGCTAGAGCAGGCTGTGGAGGGGAGGCCGGAGAGTGTCGTGCGGCCTCCCTCTGCTCTCACAGCTGGCCACACGCGCTTTATCACATGCTCGGTCTATGCGGCCCTGGTTTGGACTAAGACAGCATCTTCTGAGGCCTTACACAGCAGATTCCGTGTCACTTACTGCCGTTGTTGGGTGTAGAGGGCAAATAAATCCACATATTCCTTAATCAGTTTACTGAAGCGAATGATCTTTACAACATGCTGTGGAACACAGTTAAGGAAACCAGAGCAGAGGGGTATTTCATTTCAATTCTGCAGCATCTTTTGCTGATTCGAAATGATTATTTTATAAGGTAAGAGGAAGCTATATTCTAATATTTTCTTTCACTAATAAAATTATATTGTGAAATTCACCAGCTGTTTGATTTGAACATGCACATATTTTAAAGATTTCTTTCTTTCATAGTATTAATTCATAGTCTACAGTGTTTCCTATGGGCATATATTTAGATAGATGATGGTATAAAATGATATTACTATTACTTTTTAAGCTCTAGCAGATTCTTGGTTACAATTTTTCATCTGAATAAAAATAAGAACTAGCAACAAATTTACTTATTACTAATGTATTGCATGATGGATAATATTTTCTGCTTAGTCCTTGGGCAGTAGGAATGGTGTTGATAAGTTTCTTTTCATAAGTTATAAAAAAGATACTAAAACATCACTTTTATTAGTGTTTAAGTAGCTAGAAAGTTCCTTAATAGTACAGTTATGTTTAATGTTGCTAATGTATCAGAAAGCTGTACAAGTAACTTTTGAAGTCATTTGGTTATACCTTAGACATCTTGAACTCAACAAATTGTTTAAAGAAATTAACTGTTTTCTGACCACAGTGCAGTAAGATTAGATCTCAATTACAGGAAAAAAATTATTAAAAATTCAAACATATGGAGGCTAAATAACACACATCTGAATAACCAACAAATCATAGAAGAAATCAAAAAAGAAATAAAAATATTCATAGAAATGAATGAAAATGAAAACACAACAACCCAAAACCTATGGGACACTGTAAAAGCAGTGCTAAGGGGAAGGTTCATAGCATTACAAGCTTACCTCAAGAAACAAGAAAAAAGTCAAATAAATAACCTAACTCTACACCTAAAGCAACTAGAGGAAGAAGAAATGAAGAACCCCAGGGTTAGTAGAAGGAAAGAAATCTTAAAAATTAGGGCAGAAATAAATGCAAAAGAAACTAAAGAGA